AAGTCACCATCTCTCTGGGGTTCTCAGTTTTGTACATTTGTAAAATGGGCATGATAAAATGTCGCTGTCTCTATAAAGTGCTTTGAGATCTATGGATGAAACAAACTCCATGAGTGCCAAGTGTAAGTATGCAGCTTTGGACTACTCCATATATAAAAGCACTAGAGTTGAGCTTTTTATTATTTATTCATTTATTTTAGTGTCTGGCACCATAATCATCTTTTACAGGAATGAATGGCCTATGGTGTCCCCAGCCAGCCCTGATAACAATGGACATTCCACTGAAACACAACTTTATTCCATCATAGGTTCAGTCTCTGTTGCTCCCCAACCCTTGATCTGCTGGTCACTAGAAAAAAGATGGCTGCTGAAGCGTCTGCCTCTTCCCCTGTGGTCCTTACCTTGCTTGAGATTTAAAGCCATCGGAATAATATTTTAAAATTCGCGATAAATATTGCGTTATATTTTTGAATTTGGGGACAGTAAAAGGCTAACTCAGCAGGTGCTCAGCCCTGGTGTGAGAATCGGAGGGCTTTCAATGATTTCTGCCATTTTGGAGAAGTTTTTGTTACTGTTAAATTTCCTTTGGAGCATTTTTAGTAAGGCAGGGCTGGGCTTGGTCGGAAGATTTAATGGCATTTTTATTGCCACTCCTTTTTTCTGAGCTGATCTTGAAAGGGTCCCTTGCATGATATATGAATTCTCTTCTCTTTGTAGAACTGACATCAGATAAAAAGAAAGCAGAGCACATTTTAAAAATGAGCCTTTAAGCTGGCGGGAGGGAGAAAGCGTTTAAGATGCCTGGAAGTTGCACAAGCAACAGAAGAAGCAAAAACATTTTGATTTCTCTAGTGCAGCGGTTCTCAACCCACTGCCTGCAGGCCACACGCAGCCCAATTAGCACATAGCTACAGCCCAGCTCAGCTGTGTGTGAAAGGCCGACCCGGGCGTGGCAGGGGTCCTGGGTTCAAGGTCGGGGTCCAGGCTGCCACTGCCCTCCCACCCGGCCCCTGCGGCCCAGGTAACACATTGTGGGCCACATATGCAGCCCACAATGCGCAATAAGTTGAGAACCACTGCTCTAGTGGCTCTGGGTTTGCTTCAGTGTGAGGGTGGGGAAATAAACTCCTTCTCCCCTTTCTGCTTTTTATTATATGGAATAAAGAGAAGAAATATTTTATAAGATACTTCCCCTCCCACATAAAAAAAAGTCACTGCTGATCCTTTTTAGGAAACATACTACTCATTACTATGGAAGTTACTGTAGAAAACATCCAGTCGGAACCCTTGTCTGAGGCCTTAAATGTAAAAAATATGGCAAGGGACTCTTCCATGTCTTTTGTTCCATTGGCTTTTAAGCACAACCGGTGATTTAGACTCCTCTGAAATCATAGATTAAAAGAGGAAAAGGAAATGAATGATTTCTGTTGTTTTTCTGTAGACTTTTTATTTTCTTCTCTATAATCTTGGTATATTACAATAGCATTTTTGAGTGGTCCTGGGAAACAGCACCCTGCTGTCTTCCTTAGATCATCACCATACCAACTGTTGTCCAGTGACTAGGGGGGTGTTAAAAGTCAAATGAAAGCAAACGTGTTTTCTCTGATTTTCCTTTCCAGTATCCTCCTGTGTCAATCTGTCTCTCTCAAATAAATGTCCCACACCACGGACATCTGCTGCTCCTTCTGGGGCTTTTATTCTTAGCACTCAGGCAGGTCAATCCATCCATTTGAATTACCTGCTCCTGCAAATTTAGCCATCTCTTATATGGGGAATCTGTTACAGAGCCTAAGATAGGTGAACAAAATCCAAGTCAATATGTACAAAAAATAATGGCATTAAGTCCCTCCTAAAGGATTCGGTCTGACTTTTGTCACAGGTTAGTTTGCCTTCTGTAATTAATCACTGGCTGATTACTTCCCTTAATGTGGGTTTTCAAAGTGAACTACAGTTAAAAAGCTATAGTAGAAGAGGAAGGGATTATCTTGCATTTATAAATTGGTCAATTTCTCCCCCCCCCCTTTGAACAGTAAATCACCATTTGACTCTTCCCAGATCTGTCTTTAGGTGCTGAGAGAGCTCCTGAGAAAGGACTTTCCACCAGCCCCCTTCACCAGTGCATTCATGAGAATACTGGCTTTTGGATGCCAGCAATCCTTCAGGTTATAGTTCAAATACTCAGGAGGGAATATAAGCTTTTCTCAAGTGCCTGCCCACTCTCTTTGTAGGCAGGAGGCCTAGGTTTTAGTGCTGGCTCTGCTATTGACTTGGTGTGTGTGATGTTGGGCAAGTCATTTTTCTTTTTTCCTGGTCTCAGCTTATTCCTCTCTAAAATGGGAATGATACTGCTTGACCTTTAAAAAGAGCTTTGAGATCATGGATGAAAAGCATCCTGTAAGAGCTAAGTCTTGTTATGCAGTTTTAGTGGTGAATGGATAGTTAAAAGGTCTGGGTATGTGCAGGAACCTTTATTATGAAAGTGACTTTGCCATGTCAAATCTGAACTCATCTGATGGGCAACAGTAGGACCCATGAACAGGTCTGGGTATAAGATACATTTTTTTGGAAATGACTCAAAGAGCACATAACTGTCTCCTAAATGTACATGTGACTTGGGGATTAATAACACTATAAAACACCAAATCTCACTTCTCCAGGGAGACTCTATGAATAACAAATAATACTGTCATCTTCAGATTACTCACCACAGTGAATCTATTTTCTAATCAATCTCAGAGGCCTGGTCTACTCTTAAATGTTTTACGGGTATAGCTATGTTGGTTAGGGGTGTGATTTTTTTTTAACCAATAAACTATGCCGTAAAAGCCCAAGTGTAGATGCAGTAATAACGATATAGCACTTTTATACCGATCTAACTGTGTCGATACTAGGAGGGTTTTGCTGGTTTAACAATACCAGTATAACTATAACAATAAAACCCTCCTGGTGTAGACAAGTCCTTAGTGAAATGACATGGCTAGAACTAAGGTCATGGGTTTTCCATGTTATCTTGAATGCAGAACTGGTAGAATGTGAGTGAAAAGTCCCAAAGAAATCCCACAGGAATATTTTCGATCAACTATGAGTTTAAGAATAACTCCATCAAGGGGGATGAAAAAAACCACAAGGCAAAAAGCAAGCACTTATGCCTCCATCCTGCAATGAGCTCGGATTGGATATGGGGATAGGGCCCTTAATATACATTCTGTTCCGAAAAGTTTCTGAATAGAAATATTCTGAAAGCGATAGGCTTGCCCAGCTGTAATTGAGGGCAGCATCTGGTTGCAGAATATTTATTATTGATGCTGATGCACAAGCCAGAAAGAACTTGGCTTGAGTTTTGAATCCTAAGGCTGTTTATAGGACTGGTGGTTAGAAAAAAACATCTTTTTACTTGTAAACTAAGTACTTTTGCTATGGAGTCACTCAGGCACCATAAATGTAGAATCCCATGAGCCCATTTCTTCAAAGTCATTTTCAGAGTAGCACTGAACATTAAAGTGTCATTTTTGTTCTGTGATCAAAAGTGTCTCTCTCCCTGACTAGTCTCAGATATTTTACAACTGCCCACCTTTCCTTGACAACAAACAACCTCGCCAAAAGTGCATCCAGCTTCCCACCAGTCGTTCCCTGTTGGAACGTCACATAACCACATGCATTCGCATGCTGAGCCCTTCACACACACACACACACACACACACATATTTGCATGTGCCTGCCTGCGTGCACAAATGCATATGTTCACTTTCAGGCACACACACACACACACACACAGTTTTACCACCTCTGTTTCTTCCTGCCTATCTGGTCTCCAAATCATTTTTTAAATGCTGCCAAGTGCTCTTTTGAGTCTGCCAAAAGCTGAAAAAAGCATTTGGAAAAGCAGCAGCTTGGGAATAGAAGACGCTCAGAGTAACTGTTAATTATGTAACACTAGCACTAGGGCTCACGTGTGACCAGTGACTGTTTTACCGAGGGATACTAAAAACAGAAATGGCCTCCTAGAGCACAGTTAAGCATTAAAATCTTGCCTGTCTTAAAAAAAAATGCAAAATCCCCCTCTCTTCCTGACCTGCATACGGAACTGGTCCGGAATATGCCACAGATATCCACAGCCGGGATCAGCAGGAGAACTGTCCCCAAATCTAGAAATGTTTCCTTCAGACTTTAGTTTACCGATATCCAGCTCCCTGTCCTGCTACCCTTACTCACGTCTGAGTAGCATTTTGCTCTGGGAGAGAAAGCATGGAGTGTCTTTTAAACTCTCTGATAAAGCTTAAACCTAACATCCAGGCCAGCTCAGCTGACCAATAGACAGAGGAGAAGGCTGTGTCCCCACCCATTGCCTACACCCTCACACTGTATTTGAAGTAGCTCGTGCCCCTGGTGACACATCTCTGAACAGAGGGAGTATGACTGTGCCTGGCCCTTTAGAGGTGGCGTAACTGGGGATAGCTGCTTTCACTTTGCACCTATCTACCCATGTCAGGTTTAGGCCCAATTTAGCCCCATTTGCAAGGCTGCATAAATGGCAGATTAAGCTTCTGGGCCTGGCACATTAACGGTGTGGCTTCGTGCCCGCCCCTATTTGGAAGGCTGATTATCAGAATGCCTTGATGGGAAAGACTAGCCTCATGGTTAAGATACTACCTTGGGACTCCGGAAATCTGGTTGCCATCCCTGGCTCTGTCATAGGCCTCGGTTGGTGTTTGGGGTAGAGGTACACGGCGTTTCTTCTTCTTTCCCAACAGGTTTTCATCTTGAGTAAAAAAAAACAAAACAAAACAGGTCCATCCCTGTAAAAGGCTATTCACTAGCTTGCCACGGTGCACTGCAGCTTGCTCACTAGGAGCCCAGAGGAAAATGGAGGGACATATTGGCCATGCAGCTCATGGGAATGACCAAAGAGGGAAATTATCCCAAGTGCATGATGATCACTGTCCAGGAAAAGCCTCTGCATCTTTGTCCTTCTAACCTTTTCCCTTTTTCTCCCTCTCCAGTTTGTTGCTCAGCCAAACTGCCAGCAGCTGTTAGCGACACTTTGGTACGACGGTTTTCCAGGATGGAGGCGGAAACACTGGGCAGTCAAGCTCTTGACCTGCATCACCATTGGACTGCTATTTCCTGTGCTTTCTGTGGCATATTTAATCGCACCTAAGAGCAGGCTGGGACTGTTCATTAAAAAGCCATTTATAAAGTTTATCTGCCACACCGGTTCTTACCTAACCTTCCTCTTCATGCTACTTCTGGCATCGCAGCACATTGTCAGGACTGATCTCCATGTGCAGGGGCCACCTCCCACCGTCGTTGAATGGATGATCCTACCCTGGGTTCTAGGTAAATCAGAAGAAACACAAATATGCCTGGGCCTCAACTGGCATACGCTCAGGATAACTGCATGTGGATTAATCGCTAGTCTCGGTGTTATCAGCGTGTAAATAGGTTTGGCAACAAATTCAGAAACTTCATTAACTGCTGCCCTTTTTCTGGAACTATAGGACTGGGGCTGTTTTGTTGTTTTTATTGCCATCTACTGTGTCTTTTGGCATAGCCCTCAGGAAGCTGCACCAACCTGGGGTAGCCGCGAGAGATACTGTGGCCCTTTGATGCACACTTCCTTCCTCGCTTCCCCTTTGCTCTGAATGGAAAAGGGGCATCATAACTGGTTGTTGGCCTATACCAGCAACAAATTGTGACACTCTTATACTGGCTGGTGCATGGGGGAGGCAGAGCTAAGAGTCTGCTCCCTCGTTGCCCATTCCCCACCCATCCCGATATTTAGGTGTTTGTCCTGCATCCCGACCAATCTTTTTTTTTTTTCTCCACCGGCAGCACTCGGCTTTTTTTTTTGCTCCACCGCGGACCCCCTCCCCCCCCACTATGTGTCCCGATATTTTCTCCCTCTCATCTGGTCGCCCTACCCACCCATCTACACTTGGGGGGAGTCAGCAGGCACAGTGCCCACCTACTCCTGTGCACACAATCCCAATGTAACCTGCACATGGGGCATCCCCCAGTGCTGGCACATAATCCAAGTCACAGTCTAGCTCTCCAATATGAACCGGGGAGAGCTGGTTATTGAAATGTCAAAGTAGAAGCTGCCTATTCCAATCTGATTAGTGCAGCCCTAATTGTGAAGAAAAACGGGTGACAGCTTCCCCGTTCTGTATGTTTCACAAAAGCAAAGAATAAAGATGATATGGTAGCATGGGACCCAGCTTAAAGAGCCATCAGAAGTGTAAGAGCAAAAAAACCACATTTTGATACATGTTTGATGAGTCAGATTCATTTCCGCTTTCAAGCTGAGCTGCCTTGAGCTCAAATGCACACTGTGGCAAATAAAACCTCGTAGACTCACATAGGAAACACAAGCTCTCCTTTCATTAGGCTCACATCTGGCTTCTTTTACTCTACCTTGCTCTTGTGTTAAAATGTACCTGCTCCCATGTACCATTGTCTTAGGCTGGAGTCTCATTCTGAGGCTCCCTTAAGAGAAATCTGCTTCTCCTGATGAAAACAGGCTATAGGGCAAGAAGAATATCTGCCAAGGATTATATGGGCAGAGGGCAAATTCCATACTAGTGTTCTTGCCGGCTACCCCTCTCAGTTCCAGCAAGCCACTCCTGCAAGATCAGGTGCTTCACCCAATTTAGAGGCCATGTGAATACAACTGCTTTTAAAAGGTATAAAATAAGAGAGAGTTGTTTCCTCACTCCCCCCACCCCACCAAATGTGACATCGCAAAGCCACTCATGATGCAGCTTCCCCCATTAAGTCAACCCTTATACATTGCTTTATCCTGCATTGTTGCCATGAAGATGCCATCTTCCTGCTCTACAGCTGGCACGTACAATCAGGTCCAGCATTTCAAACCTGGACTTACTTTAAACTGAGCCCTAAGGTTCTGGGCCCAGCACGTTCATTTTGGATCTAGACTGTTCTCAGTGATACCTGATGACAGAACAAGGAGTAATGGTCTCAAGTTGCAGTGGGGGAGGTTTAGGTTGGATATTAGGAAAAACTTTTTCACTAGGGGGATGGTGAAGCACTGGAATGGGTTACCTAGGGAGGTGGTGGAATCTCCTTCCTTAGAGGTTTTTAAGGTCAGGCTTGACAAAGCCCTGGCTGGGATGATTTAGTTGGGGATTGATCCTGCTTTGAGTAGGGGGTTGGACTAGATGACCTCCTGAGGTCCCTTCCAACCCTGATATTCTATGATTCTACGAGAAGGGTGATTCGTAGAATGGTCAAGCCCTGGCTTAGGACTCAAAGGAGTTCAACTCCTGGCTGTACCACAAGCTTCGTGTCTCACCTGGGACAGGTCGGTTAACTGGAGCTGACCGGAGCACCACAATGAGGTTTCAAAATTTGTTTTCAGTCTGCACTGGAATGAAAACCAAACCTTTCCGCTGTTTTAGTGTGTGGGAGACCCAGATGCAAGGCCTGGCTCCTCCTGTTTCCACAGCAGAGCTTTTTAGCCTAGATCATTCCAAATCAGGGACTTGTACCTGTCTAGCCTCCATCCCAGGTCAACCGAATAACCTCCCCTCCCCCCAGATATACGGGTTTCTCTTGCTTGTTCTCTCCCCAGACCCAAAAGCCTTCCTGCTGAAACTTTTATGGAAACCGATACATCTCCACAACATTTTTTGGCTTCAACAAAACTGCACATTTCACTGAAATGAAATTTCATCAGAAATGTTCTGCCGAGCTCTGCATTTAATTTCTCTATGCCTGAGTTTGCCAGGTGTAAAGTGGAGATGTGATCAAACTTCCCTACCTTGTTGTGTTGTGAGGATAAATTAGTTGGGGTCAGATTCTGTCTGCTTTCTCTATCCTCTTTGTGCTGCTCTGGTGGCATAGAGGAGATGCTGAGTTGCCCTAACATGGCATCTGGGAATTCCCAGACACAGTGGGAATCCCTGGAAAATGTTCCTGGATGAACTGGGGCCAACAGGTGAATTAAGGTGATCTTGCCCCATCCCATGTTCTGTGCTGAGCACAGTGTTTATAGCGCTATTCTTCTTTCGAGGGATGAACCTAATGTATCAAAAATCTCCATCTGCACCACCATCCAGTCTTGAGCAAGAAGGTCTCCCAAGTCCCTCAATCTGCAGTGGGCCAGGAAAAGACAGTCAGGTTGCAGCACCGGAAGGGGAGCGTGAATAATAAATTAATAACAAGTATCTCTTCAAAAACCCATCTTTAGGCTTACATGCTCAAACAGCTCTTTTGTTCTAAGACTAGAACTGGTTGGATAATTTCAAACATTTCAAAATCTGGACAAAATACTGCCACATTCTTTTTCCAAATAAAACCAAAAATGTTGCTTCTATGTTTTACCAGGCTTACTGCTAGTTAGGACAATTTTTAGAAAATTCTAACTGCGGATGAAAGGATGGGTAAAGGACAGAGTTGCAAAAATGTTAACAAACTTTCTTCCCATTGTGACCAACTCTACCAAAAACACAGGAGAGTTTGTGCTACTTCACACAGGCTGTCCCCGCAGCTCTCACACAGCCCGAGCCTCATTCTCTCTACTCTACAAACAATAGGAATTAGCAAATGTGCAATTGAAATGTACACGTGAGCACAAACCTTGGAATAAACAGCGAACCCATCCCTTTTTACTACCACTTCCCACACCCCCAACTTCATGTTTAAATTATATGAAATTCTATGGAGAAAAACAGACCTTCAAATAAGCTGCTGATGTGTCTGTAGGGAAGAATTTACTATTTTAGTGTCCTTTTTTATTTATGAAATATCTGTAAGAGAGAGAGAGAGAACAGGCACGTACAGTGCAGACAGTGTTACAGTAACTATAGTAACAATGCTAAAATAATAAATACAACATAGTTGTTCTTCAGCAGAAGCTGCTCCATTGATTTTTTTATTTTATTTTACTTTGTACAAACAAAGATTTTAAGACAGCTGTAATAAAATTACCTTATTGGTCATAACATGCTGCTGACCTGACCAGTGACCTATCAGGCATCAGCCAAGAAAATGTGATTGATGTCTTTATGTTTGCAACAATTAATTTCCCTGTTCTTTGTTCTTCATATTGAACCTTTATAGCTCTAGAAAACAGACTCAACTGATATCCCAATTTGAAGGATCACGTCATAATTCTATTGTCAGATGTTTGTTAGCCACTCTCTTGACGCATTTTTTTTCTTTTCTGATTTAAGTCTTGGTTCTTGAGTCACGTCCGATGTTGTAAACTCAACAATGCAAAATATATGGGGATAGGGGTAACGTTTTCATAAGTGCTTAAGGGACATAGGAGCAAAAGTCCCATTTTCAAAAGTCACTTAGGCACTTAGGAGCCTAAGTCTCATTGACTTTCAATACCCAAGTTAGCTTTAATCTAGCAAGCACAGGGGCCAGTAGCAATGGAGCTGCAGCAGCGTGGACTTCAACTCAGGCTAGCTACCCAAGTGTGTACCCAGGGTCCAGGGCAGGTTTGTACAGTCTGCACTGAAACCTGTTCTGCTGCGGCTTCACTATTATTGTTACCTGCGCTAGGTAGATTTAAGTTAAATCGGGTGTGACTACATATGCTACAATCATACCACTCAGTTGCAGTGTAGACATACCCTTAAGCTCCTAAACACCTAAGTGACATTGAAAATGGGCCCTAGACTCTGAAATCACATAGGCTCTTTCGAAAATGTTACTCTAGATGACTTAGGGGAGTGGTAATGGGGTATGGAGCCTTTCGTCACGACTGTAGGCAAATTTAGCCTCGGTTAGTAACAAGTGAGAATAATTCCCTGCTGAAGGCTGGGGGCTGGCGTTTGTGAAAGGAGTTGATTGTCTCAGTCCAGTTCCTAGTGAACAAACGTCCACGTCACAAAACCCACCACCACAAATGGTGGTAAGTGGAACTCTAACTGACAGCCTCAGCAAAGAGTCTGTAAACTGAAGGTGGATTCTGATACCCTTACTCATGCTGAGTAGTTGCTTGTTCACAAGTAGTCCTATGGAAGTCAATGGCGCTATTCATGGAATAAGGTGATATTTAATGAATGTGCCTGGAGAATGGATGTGATCCTTCCAACTCAGACCTGAGGCAGAGTGATGGAGGGAAGCTTGTGTTACTGTCACCCGTCTTATGGATAAGTGTAGGGAAATCAGCCTTCATGGCTGTCAAAGCATTAAGGAGCACTGAATTACCCTTAGATACTACAGCGGTGGGTGCTCTATTAATAACTAAGACAAATAAATTAACTCAAATCTTGTATTTATTTAAATCAATAAAATTTCCCTGGGCCAGGTTACCCACACTTTCTAAAGGGGAACTTTGGCCTAGAACAGTTAAAATGAATGTGTGTTTCATGCAGCATCTCCTTGTGCTTTGTATGTGAAGCACTGGGCAGGACTGCTTAAGCCTGCCCCATTTCTTTTCTGATTGCATTTCCTATTCTGCTATAAAACGCTTGGTAAGCAGCTTTATTACATTTTGTAGGAAAGGAAAAAGGATGAGGCATTTTTTCCCAAGCAGTTAATTTATAATTGCCTTTTATTACATTGGATTTGTTCTGCTTTAATGGCCAGTAATGTTCCCCCATACAGATAAACTCTCTTTCTTTCCACAGGTTTTATTTGGGGAGAAATCAAGGAGATGTGGGATGGTGGATTCAATGAGTATGTACATGACTGGTGGAATCTGATGGACTTTGCAATGAACTCACTCTACCTTGCAACTATCTCCTTGAAAATTGTTGCTTATGTCAAGGTACAGTAAGTTGGTGCATGTGTATGAAAACTATAGTACACGGGAAATTATCTGTCAACCCTGAAATTCCAGTTCAGCATGAACAGGTGCCCACATCACAAGTGGTACTAGTTGGCATCCTTGTTTGCAAACTCAGTAGGAAAGCCAGTGACTGAATTGGCTTGGAGAATGAGCATGTTTCTCACCACATACAGGCTGTCCTGCCTGATTAAGGTTGAGGCACATTGGCTGGGTGTTGTGGGGGGAGTTCACATAGCCACTGCCCACCTTGTAACTGTGGGTAAAGAGTGAACCTCAGTTTCTGAATGGTCACTGAGTACCTTTCAACTGTGCTAAATCCACTTACACTGTAACAATGAATCCAGAATAGGGAGATCAGAAAACAATTCGAGTTTTATAATGTAAATGGGGAAAATGATAAAATATTCTGTTGAGATTTTACAACGATGCTGCAGATTCCTTACTGTCAGCTCCACTAACTGAGCTAGTGCATATCACCCCATTCATCTTCAAATGCACCTTTCAGATTTATAAACATCTGATGCTTTAAATTAATTTATGCGCAAGCTTTGAAGCCAGAGGACTGCCAGAAGCGCTCTCTCTCTTTGTTTCTCTCTCTCTCACACACACACACATAGTTCAATCCCTGCAATACCTCAACAATGACTCCCGCTGACTTGAGTGAGAGCTCTCTCTCTCTCTCTCTCTCTCTCTCACACACACACACACACTCACACAGCATAGTCCCTGCATTCCCTCAACACAGAGTCTCCCATCGACTTTAGTGGGAATGGTGTGTTTGCAGGATCCGGCTCACAGAGTTTTCTCTAATCTTTCTGGTGTTCACAGAGTCTGTGGACCTGGTTCTCCTCTCATGCTGGTGTAAATCAGGAGTAACTCTACTGAAGTCAGTGGTGTTACAGTGGTGTAAGTCAAACATGAAGTAACCCTGTACTCAGATTGGGAGAGTCCTTCCCCACCAGCTCCCCAGATAGGGTGACCAGATGTCCTGATTTTATAGGGACAGTCCCAATTTTGGGGTCTTTTTCTTATATAGGCTCCTATTACTCCCCATCCCCATCCCGATTTTTCACACTTGCTGTCTGGTCACCCTATCCCCAGAGTTCCTGCTTCTGAGGCCGTACACCACTGAACTTACAACTCCAGACTTAGCTTCCTGCTGCTTTAGACACAGGTCTGACTCTGAACATTTCTTTATGCGAGGGGGTTACGGCAGTAGATCTACATCACTGCACACTCACTAGTCCCTTTTCCCAGCTCTCCCCCCACCCTCTAGGGTTAGAAGAGATCCTCCACAGAGGACAGCTCCTGGGTACATAGGGGATGCAGTGGTCCCTAGGTGGGACTCTCCATAACCTGACCTCCTCCCCTGCATTGTGGATGTGGCTGGTCCCACAGCAATTAGGGCTTTCCATTTTTGCTGATCCATAACATTGGTTTCACTATGTACACAAGGGAAGATTTTACAGCAGCTTGAACTCAGATCCTTGCTGGGGAAGTTCACTGTTCCAAGGTTCTCTGTTCATTTGTACCCAGTCATAGCGTAAGGAGATAGGAGAGAGACGGGGACACTAAATATTTCACAAGCTAGCTAAAACAGGAAGGCTATAATATGAGCTCTCAGATAAACAGACCAGCACGGGGACCATTTTAAAGTGCAGAAGGCTGCTTACCGCTGAATTAGCACTTTTCAAAAAGAATGCCAAGATAGCAGCTACTCCCTGATCAGGTTGTTCTGCGTCAGTATCAAAGCAAAGCCAGATTACATTTTTTTCTCCAGACATTTACAGCAGGACAGAAAATTAAACACTTGAACATTTGGTCTTTGAACTGTGAGCAATAAAAATAAAATAGCTGGAAATCGTAAGTCACAGGGACAAATCAGCAACCTGGCAATTCTCTTTCTCTCAGACACACAGCCACTTACCCCCATGCCCACCAGTAACACCTAAAACACCAGGCACAAACAAATACACAACACATGCAGCACACAGAACCCAAGCCATGCATATCTGCAAACATACAGCTACACACGTTGTCTTTATGAACGAGGAATTCATACCTACAAAACCACAGCGCCCGGTATGCAAACGCCCACGCTCTCATGCAATCATACAGCTGAAAGGGTGGCTAATCCCACTGAGCATCTGCAGGCCCTGGACATCCATAGGTATGTTTACACTGCAGCTAGGAGCAAGCCTCCCCGCCTGGGTAGACCGATTCGTTCTAGCAGGGCTAGAACCTTGCTAAAAATAATAGTGGGGATGGTGCAGCTTGGTCTGGGCTGCAGCAGCCTAGGGGCCACGCCCAAGTTTCTGCCCTTGGTGGAATGTCCACATTGCTATCTGTAGCACAGTGGCTCAAGCCCTGCTAGTATGAATCTGTCTATCCGGATGGGGAGGTTCAGTCCCAGCTACAGTGCAGACACCTTCCATGTCACATCCTCACTATGTCCTAACCCTTCAGCCCTGACGTCCCTTTCCGATATCAGAGGACTGCAGCAGTCTCACTAGATAGTACCCCTGACTTTTAACAGCCTGGCTCTGCAGCTCCTCCTCCTGGCCCACCTCTCCACTCCTGTGCTGTTTCCTAGAACTGCCCCTAGGCTGCCGGGCACAGCGGAAGCCACTAAATGCCCAGCAGTTGGCACTCCATTCCTCAGGTGTCCTCTGCCAGCACAGCTCCCTTCTCAGCTTCTCCTCCCTCACCCACCTATTCAAAATTGAACCCCAAATCTCTGCACCCAGGGCCTCATGGATACATTAATCAATTCCAGTAGCTATGCCAGATCAAACCCATAGTCCATCTAATCCAATATCCTGCATCTGTCAATGTCAGATGTTTCAGAGGAAGGTGCAAGAAACCTTGGATTGGTCAGATGTGGAATAACCTAACGGAAGTGTCTTCATAATCCTTGTCACCCAGAAGTTGGCTTGTGCCCCAATGCACTGGGGTTTATAACTCTTCTGATATTCTACAAATTCTTCGTGTGACTGGGAATGTTCTAAGTATTTGTGCAAATGCCTAATTTGTTTTGAATTCTACTAAACTCTGGCCTCAATGTTATCTAATGCCAATAAACTCCACAGATTAATTAAGTGTAGGGTAAAAAGTATTTCCTTTTATCAGTTTTAAATGACCTGCCTTTCGATGTCATTGAGTATCCCCTTGTTCTTGTATTATGAGAAAGGGTAAATGGGAGAGCCCAGTCTCTATACCCGTCCTTTCTCTGGTCTCTAAACAGCCTGGACCATTTCAGTCTTTTCGTGTGTCTAATCATTTTCTTTATACATCTCTGAACCCCTTCTATTTCTGCTATGCACTTTGCGGGGCTGGGCTGACCAGAACTGAACATAACATTCCAAGTGAGGGGGTTCCATTGATTTATTTAGTGCCATTACAACACGGCCTTGAAAAATTGCCATTTTTAAAATAAAGATCTGTGAGATGCAAAAGGCCTTGTCAAGCTCTTTTTCATAGCAGCTAACTCTAAATCCTGGCAGAGAGCCACGTGCTGTTGGGATGTTTCTCGCCAGCACGCAAAGCAGAATTTTGAACCTTCCATGCGAATCTGCTTCCCAAGTATTTGATTCTCTCTCACCGAGCTATAGCTATAGATATATACACATATATATGGTTGAGGTACTAGCAAAGAGATAACAACTTCTGCACTGTTTGTTAACATTTAAGGGCCAGCTTCAAATCCAATTAACAAAGTGAGTCCCTGGTGTTCGTGGCAGTGGAGAACAGTTTGGAAATGTCAGAAGCAATCAGAGGTCATGTAGAAACGCAGCTGCACTGTATCTCAGCTAGATTTTCAAGCAGTATTTAGGCGCCTGTCACTAGCACTGATCAAACCATCGCTCAGCTGCCACCTAACCCTGTAGGCATCTAAAGTCCCCTAGGTGCCTAAACTGCTGTCTGTGGGCATGTGCAAAGCGGACTAAGTCCTGACCACTAAGTTGTTAACTTCCTAATGCATGCGTAGGCCTTGGCAGGATTCACAAACTAGGCATTTCCCTGCCTACCTTTCCTGCAGGGCCTGATCTGGTAGGTGTTCTCAGAGCATGCCTAATACACCCAGCGGACAGCCAGGGGCCAGTAGAACCTCCCCCTTTATCTCTGCTAGACCAGTGATTAAAGCCCTTACCCAGGATGTGGGCAACCTGGGTTTAAATCACCACTCTGCCTGATTCAGAGCAGGGACAGGAAGACAGGTCTCCCAGATGATTGCTCTGGGCTATGGGAGGGGAGTCTCTCTCAATCTCTCCCACCTTGTATGAAATACTTAAAGATTCACTGGACCTTCAAGAGAATGACTCTGATCCCAGTAGTTAGGACACACACATGGGAGACCTCCAATCAGCTCCCTGCTCTGAATCCAACAGAGTAGGGATTTGAATCCAGGTCTCCCACTTTGTGTGCTAACCACTGGGCTAAGGAGATGTTGTGGTGAGGAGGGGAACCATGACCTGTTATTCTTGAAATGGCTTAGGTGCCTAACTCCAGGGGAGACTTCATCGCTTGGCTGTGAATCCTGAGCAGAGATAGGTGCATAATTCTCTTTGGGGGCAGGGCTTAGGTCCCACCCCACTCCTCAGCATTTCCTACAGGCGAGCTTAGACAGCTCCCCACTCCACAGGCTGGCTTCTGTGAATCCCTATTTTAGGTGCCTAACTCTTCCTACACAATGCAGAGGGAGCCTGGTTGCCTCACCTGGGGGTGCAAATTACACAAGGTGGCAGGGTGCTGAAAAGTTAGGCGATGTGATGTTTAGTGTTGCAATGCCTAAGTCCTCCTTTGTGAAGCCCATGGTTGCTTCTACTTATCTCCTTGAAAAGTTGTGATTTTTATGCATTGGACCTTAAGATTTAAACTGAAGGGCCTTATAAAGACACCTCCATCAGAGTACAGTATGTTTATTTTAAAGGTTACAAAATCTATCAGTTGCTATAAAATACTTGTTACTGTATTCGCCATTCTAGGAACATTTTTGGCCTTTTTATATGGTACATGGTAAATGAACAGAACAGAACTAAGAGGCCAAATTCAGCCCTGGTGTTAAAAGATCTGATTCTGATCTGTTACACCATTGTAGGTCAGCCCAATGAGGGGCGTCCCTAGCTATTCTGGCACCCTACGCATCCCCCCGCGGCCCCAGGAACAACTTGTGAGCTGTTGACGCCATTGAATTCAAACCTGAGTCTTAACCACTTCAGCGTTTCAAACCTGAACCCTGAGCATTAGCTAACCCTAACTGAGATCCAGATTTGAACACCATCTGTTCAAGTAATCAAAAGTTGGTTAGTGTACTGCATAATGAAATGTTGTTAGCAATTATGGCTTTCGGGGCTATGTTAAAGTGTTTACTGCACCATTAATTTTTGTACCCTTGTTATTTCTTTCAGTATAATGGTTCTCGTCCAAGGGAGGAATGGGAAATGTGGCACCCGACACTCATTGCAGAAGCTCTCTTTGCAATATCCAACATTTTAAGTTCCTTGCGTCTCATATCCCTGTTTACAGCAAACTCCCACCTGGGCCCCTTGCAGATCTCTCTGGGACGCATGCTGCTAGACATCCTCAAATTCCTTTTTATCTACTGTCTGGTGCTTCTGGCTTTTGCCAATGGACTGAACCAGCTTTATTTTTATTATGAGACCAGTGCCTCGGAGGAACCCAACAACTGCAAGGGGATCCGATGTGAGAAACAGAACAATGCCTTCTCCACGTAAGACTCCATTCCCTTTCTGTAATGCTGAGTTTTGTTGCTTCCTATCTTAACAGTCTCTACTCACTGGCTGCCAATGCCTTTAGTTGTCAGGCCAGTTGGTTGATTATGTAAGGAAGGTCTGAGTTAACTGGGGCAGATCCTTTGCTGAAGTCTGCCTTTTAGCTGTCATGATCGATACTTAGTCTGGAAATGGGAGACCAAGGTCCTCGGTCCAGAGCACAAGGTCTCTCCATATGATGGAATGTTTGTGACCTGAGGGAAATGGTGATAAATCTCAGAGAAATTAAACAATGAAAAGAGCTGCTACCACCAGGTCCTCTGGTCCATCTCCCATTCAGTGCACGATGGGACCCTATGTATACACTGGAAGATATTTTAGTAACGCCCCCTGTATAATTTCAATATCCTTTAGAAAATCATGATTGCTCCTCAGAAGGAATAGTTTTTGTGTGATTATGAGAAAAAAATAAAGAAAGTATAAAATAAAAGTGAAGGAACAAATCTATGCATAAAATAAACTAAAATGATGATAAATAACAGCAATATAAAATAATATACATTAGGGCCATAACAAGTGCTCTATGCAGTCAAATCCAAAGAATGAAACTGACTTGAAGCCTGGGAACATAGCATAGGTTATAGCCCCGGTGATACAGCTAAATTCTCATCTCACCTGTTCTGCTTGTAACACTATTGACTTCAGTGATTTTATTGACACTGATGTAGGTGAGATCAGGGAGACTTGGAGGAAATGCTAGTTCTTTACTGAGGAACTGCTATATAAATTGCTGGGATGGTAACTGACACAGATCACGGCTGAAAAAACAAGTGCAAACTGAAGAATAACTGGAATTGTCTTTCTTGTGCATTTATTTTAATGAATAATAGCCATAATATTGATAATAATCAGCACCAGTCCAATTGCTCTTGGTGCTTTTACAGTGCTTGAAAAATACAATAGAAAATAAATAAATAAAACACAAATGAGCAGAAAAGATTATTTTTCACCACTTGATACTGGATCAAATAAAACTCTCCATTATGCTCCCAAATTCTCCATTCATCTTTTGCCCAAATGCTTAGGATTGTCCATGAGGTTATCAGATCCAGGTGCTGGCAGACCCCAAGTGTGCCAGGCCTCGGGGCAGAAGAGCAACTGCTCCGACTATTCTGCTAATGCTTTCCTCTTAAAAAGAGCAGAATCGCTTATGTGAAATTACATCCACTCCTGCCAGAGGCCACATGTCAACAGCTCCTCATGATCAAAGGTACCAAAGGTGGTAGATCTCAAAGAAGCACAGACACGTTGTCATTCTCCTTTATAATTTTTTTTAATAAAAGAATATCTCTGTTATATCTCCTAGAACAGGAAGGGTCTTGAGGTCATTGAGTCCAGCCCCCTGCCTTCACTAGCAGGACCAAGTACTGATTTTGCCCCAGATCCCTAAGTGGCCCCCTCAAGGATTGAACTTACAACCCTGGGTTTAGCAGGCCAATGCTCAAACCACTGAGCTATCCCTCTCCCCCTCTTTGCTTAGAAGAGCTCTTCAATCATTGCAAATCAGAAACATGGAGGGGTTGGTTAACTCATTTAGCCCAATATAAATCTGGAGTAACACCTCTGAAGTGAAGAGAGTCACGTGGTGTTAGTGAAAAAAGAATTAAAGCCCTTCATTTTATCCTCTGGTAAAAAATGTTAATGCCCCTACAAAAATATTTTCTGCTCCCTTTGCAGCAGTAAATTAACTAACAAACATTATTCCTGGAGCTGAGTTAAAGCTGATCCACAGAGGGAAATGTTTTGGCAGGACACGGTGCTTTATAAATTGAAGTTTCTAACAAGTGAAAGGCCTGAAGCTCTGAGGTCAGAACTGGATCCAGACAACCCTAGAGTTGAAGGGTACAGGAGGGAGGGAGTATTTCTACCTGGGATTTCTGTTTGGGCCCATCTTTATTGCAAGCCAGTTACTTTGCTGCATTCAGTGCCATCCGATCAATGAAGGAAATAACAGCTGTTTGACTAAAGAAAAAAGCACATTTGGTCACCGGGGGGCGAGGGGGGGAGGTGATTTTCAAGTTTCTAAGAGGGTGTAACACACAATGGGGAATTAAAAAACGATATACAACCACTTGACAGAAAGTGCACAAATCAACTTGACAGCGCTCTTTAAATTCAGACCACTCATTCTCCGGTACTGCTGTGCATTTAAACCTCTTGCCAATGAGACTGCCTCACAAAGAGAAATTTGAGGGGGCTCGGCATCTGGGGACAGAGGTTTGTTTAAAACAAAGTAGCAGTGGGTGGGGAACATTAGGACCCAGCTCCCTTTGGCAGGGGGCAGAATACATTGCCATTGCCCTTTTGTCTGAGCCGGGCTTAAGAAGTTTATTCACCGTGTTCTTAAAAGTTTAAATAGTCATTATTAACACCCCCAGGGCAAGCTGACATTTCACTCTTCAAACAGACACACAGCATGTGCAACTTGCTAAGAATGGGCAACCTGCAAAATAGGAAATTATATCTATGGGACTCTTAGAATGAGCAGTATTGGCGTGAATTCAAATCAAGCCTAATGTTACCTCAAGTTGGCTTTAATTCATCCCACCTTAGTGGTAGGAGAAATGCAAAATGCTTCCAATGAGTCCCCTCCATTTCTAAAAGTGTTCCGAGGCAGTCACATAATAGGACCTAATTTTATAATCTCAGAGAAGGAGAAACAGGAGTTGTTCGTGTTTGTACAACTTGTTTAAAATATGATACCTATTTACTGTCATATTATTTCTGATTACTCCCCAAGGATGGGTCTAATACATGGGTAGACAACCTATGGCACATGTGCCGAAGGCGGCACGCGAGCTGATTTTCAGTGGCACTCACACTGCCCGGGTCCTGGCCACCGGTCCGGGGGGCTCTGCATTTTTATTTAATTTTAAATGAAGCTTCTTAAACATTTTAAAAACCTTATTTACTTTACATACAATAATAGTTTAGTTATATATTATAGACTTCTAGAAAGAGACCTTCTAAAAACGTTAAAATGTATTACTGGCACGTGAAACTTAATTTAGAGTGAATAAATGAAGACTCGACACACCACTTCTGAAAGGTTGCCGACCCCTGGTCTAATATCTGTTGTGAAGAAATTTTCTGCCCCACAAACACAGCTCAAGGAAAAGTAATATTCCTTTGTGACAGCGACAAGGTGAAGCCATTAATAATTCACATTTTTATGCTTTGGCTTCACTGTGCTTGAGAAAGTGGAGTGTGTCTATTGCTTAGACAGGCAGTCTGAGGAATATATTTATCACAAAGGCTCAGTCAACTAAGAGGGGGTGGGAGGGAGTCGGTGGCTCCTTGTTTTCTGCAGTGTCATTTTGTCTTGAGAGGGATGCTGTTAACTGGGTTGCCATTTTCTCCAAGACACACTAAAAACTGCAGTCTTGCTGGAGGTTAACAGTGCACCAGAGGGTGAAGCAGGAACTGTCTTTTCCTCAGATGCTTTTAGAGGACCGTTAAGCTTTGCTGTTTCTCCCGGTAAATGCTCAGAGTTCAAATTTCAGAAATGATTTCTATTCTAAAAGAATACTCCTCTAAAATATTGTGAGCCTCATCAAAAATGCCTAACAATGGACATGCCCTTTTGGTTCGGGTCCCCCGTTAGACATTGTGGGCAGTGTGTGATTGTACTACATAAAGAGAGAGGAAAGAATAACAAAATATTATTTTTATACAAAATCGCAGCACATACATCAGCTTTGCTGTTTCTGGGTTAGGGTATGAACCCCTTGCTCATACAGAATCGTTTCTTAATCCAGTAGGAGCCCCGCTGAAATCAATGGCACTCTGTGGGGAGTAAAATGCGATTGTATGAATGTAAAGGTCATACAATTTGGCCCTCAGGAAAAAAAGTGTCTGTTATATCTGCTCCTGATAAACTGCTCTGGCTGCTAATGTTAGGGTACCATTCAGGGTCGTGTGTGAGTGTAAATATAATGTTCCTTCTTAACCTAGGATCAAATTCTCTTCTTAGTTACAAAGGTGTAAATCCAAAGTAATGTACTATTCACCCTCAAGGAGTTATTCCAGATTAATATTAGTGTGGCTGAGGACAGAATTCACCCCTCGGTCCTAAATCGTTGAACAGATACCTTCCATCTTATGTTCCCACCTGAGATTTATGGCTGGATGGGGGAGGATGTAATTCTGCAAGGTACAGTCAAGCAGGAAACCAAGGAAGTCTTTTTCCCTCCGTGATGAAACTACCTGCCACAATGTCTCCCAGAGGCCTTGGTTAATCCCGTTAGTGCAGGCTATAAGGCAACTTTACGTCGGATAGCTCATTCTTGACTGCTCCCTCCCTCCCCTCACTTAGATTTTCCTTCTGCTTGTCCCCTTTCCCCATACATTCTGTATGCAACGAGAGAGTTATTCCCTGTTGTTGGCGGGTGGTTTGCCGGATAGCTCTTGTGTTTTTCCTTTGGCTAAATCTATTAAATGTTATTTGGGCTGAGCAGTAGGCTGGTTGACTTTTCATTTATTTGGTATTCTGGCTCATTAGGATGATTCGATACCTCATTCATTGTATTAGATCTTAAAAAATAATAAATATTTGTCTATTGTTTTACAAACAATTTGCTAAAAATTCAGTTTAGTTTCCTCATCAGTAAAATGGGGATAATGATACTGGCTTACTTTGTAAAGTTCTTTGAGAACTGCTGATGAAAAGCACTATATAAGGGCTAGGTATTGTTATCATTGTTAATAATAATCAAATGAGTTCAGCTGTTTAGGTGGGAGACAGGCGTGGTCCCTTTAAAAGTGGGTGTACTGATTGTGTCATGTGATTTACGGTGTCATATCTGCTTTTTTCTTTACAACACAGTTTCACAGATTTAAGTAATGGGGCCAAATCCCTAGGTCCTTATTCAATTTGTACTCCGTCCTTATTTGACTAATAAGGACTTCATAATTTGGCCCATGATCTATAAAACTCAGACTGTTTAATACAAGAGTTAAAATTGTAAAGAATGTCAACTCCTCTATGGATAGTAAAGTGTGAATGCCAAAAGAATTTAACTGCACGAACAACCAACACAACAGATTCCTAATATTTCAGCCACATCCAAAATAGATTATATTCTTTTAAGTAATATTTTATTGGTTTTTACAGTAAGATTGTTTTTAAAAAAACCATCTACTGACCCTAGGACAAAACCAAAACATCTTAAATGTAGATAGAAATGTCAGCTCCCCCAAACTGGAAACAATAATACCCAAAGGAGTGATTATTCAGAATCCTGATAATGTATTTGACATGACTGCAAAAGGTCACTTGTCTATGGCGGAAGCCATAGCAACCCAGGATGATCTCAACAGCTCTAAAGTTAAGTGGGGTCAGGAGACTTCAAAGGAGAACTCTATCATGCTGCATTAATTAGGTGACACACTTTCTTCTGAGTCAGTACTGATCAAGTGCTCCTGCATAATGCTGGGGGCACTGTACTGTGGTAGGTTCTGCCATTCAGATGAGCCATAATACAGGGGTCCCTGACCACCTGTGATGCGAGGATACAGAGTAGGGGTCTGAGCCTCATTGTCCTGGTTAATATCCAATTGAGGTAATTTCCTGCTCTCTGCCAATATCACCCTTGGAGATTCAGCTGGATGTGATATTTCCCTCCTCTCCAGTGATGCAGTAGGGCTGTGTGCTGTCATAATGTTCCCATGCTGCACTTCAGGGGTGACTGAAGCGTTGCCTGAGCATGTAGAGCTCTTCATGATGGAGACACTGTGGGAATGGGAAAGATTATTTATATTGTGGCATGGAAATTTTTAACAAGAGGGGCCCGATCATGTCTGTCCCTCTGTGTGTGTAGGGGAATCTCTTTGTGCACCTGTCAGGGGCAGTGATGGCCCTAGTCATTGCACCCCCCCTAAGCACAAGGACAGGAGAGTCATAGTGCCACTGAAACTCCAAACAGGGCCGAGAACACTGTGGGCCAGGGTGCAGCTCCCTCCTGCACTGGCTGATGGACTGTAGCCTGCAAGGGGGAAGCACATACTGACCCTCCACAAAGGAAGAAATAGGCTCTGCTCTTCAGCACACGCATCTCAGTGTGAATGCAGGGATGCAGCCTGCCCATGTGCACTGAAGGCTGAATGGCTCCAGTGGTGCAGTGCAACTTGACGTCCTCCCCATGGCCAGTGTGCATAGAGCCTTATGGTGCAGTGCACCACAGCCTGCCCTCCCCATGGCCAGTGTGCATAGAGCCCTATGGTGCAGTGCACCACAGCCTGCCCTCCCCATGGCCAGTGTGCATAGAGCCCTATGGTGCAGTGCACCACAGCCTGCCCTCCCCAA